CCACCTCGACCTACCCACTGCCCCGTCGGGGAAGGGACGGCCGTTGTGCTCGAGACGCTGCGCTGTGGCGATGGTGTACACCAAGATGACGATCATGGTCACGGGAGTGATGAGGCCCCAGGTCAGCCGCCAGTACAGCCCCGGCCTCTGGCCCAACATGAGCTCCAGGTCACGGCACAGGTTGTCCAGTCCTGTAGGGATTAACGTGGAGGAGTCAGCGATCTCTGTGGCCAGTTCCTCCCCCGCCTGTCAGCCCTCGATACGCACCGTACACCCAGCCGATGACGACCATCTCCGCGGCCACGAGTACGAATATGGGGAAGGTCCCCGAGTAGTAGTCGACCAGAGTCAACACGTATTGCCCGCCCTGCATCAGGAGCATTGTCTGTAAGTATGCTATAAGGGGCTCAGGTGGCGGGCCCAACGGTGGGCCGAGGCGTGTGTATTACCGGAGTGACGTAGACGAGGCCGAGCAGCGCCCCGACCAGGCAGGTGGCCAGGGACACGGCCCAGGTGGGGGCGCGCGGCATGAGGGCGTCCCCACAGAGAGTGGTCAGGTTACCCAGCAGCGCGACGGCCGAGCCCACGCCCAGGGTCAGCAGCATGAGGAAGAAGAGGACGGCGAAGGCCTGGGGCGCCACCTCGAACTTAGCGATGGCCTCCGGGTAGGAGACGAACGCCAGTCCCGAACCGCCCTTGACCACCGTGCTCACAGACTGCCCCGACTCGTACGCCAGGTTGCCCAGGATGCCAAAGATGGTGCAGCCCGCGAGCAGGCTCGTCAGGGTGTCCATGGAGGTGACGATCATGGCGTCCCTGCGCAGCAGAACCTGTCAGCGCGGCGCGGGCCGGGGCCTCCCTCCTGGCGGCCAACGACACGATCGTGGGGTACGCACTTGTAGATGTTGTGGTCGAAAGCGTTGTAGGACGACATCATGACCAGTGAGCCGAAGCCGACGCCCAGCGAGAAGAAGCACTGCGTCACCGCCGCATACCAAACCTGCACACAACAGATCGCTTTGCTGTCAGACACGGTCACAGTGCACATCGCGGAAGCCCGCCCCCGTCGCACTCACCGTTGGGTCCAGTAGACGCCCGAAGTCGGGCCGCACGAAGAACAAAATGCCGTCCACGGCGCCGGGGAGCGTCACGCCCCGGATGAGCAGCATGAAGAGAATGACGTAGGGAAAGAGCGCCAGAAAGTAGGCGGCCTTCCCCGAGGACTTGACGCCGCAACAGGTGACGGCCCACACCAACACCCACGTGGCCCCCAGGCACAGCGACAACGCCAACCCGGGCGAGCCGATGCCCCGGGAAATGCCCCATGCATCGTCTACCTCGTCCAACACCGTGTACCTGCGCGAAAAGCAACGGTGAGGTGCCTACGCGTCCTTCGTCGAGCGCCCGGGAAGCGAGCTGGGCCACCCGGTCCACATGCGTGTCTCGCGGGTCTGCCTACCCGTCCTTAGTCGGGCGCCCGGGAGGCGAGCTGGGCCACCCGGTCCACACGCGTGTCTCGCGGGTCTGCCTACCCATCCTTGGTCGGGCGCCCGGGAGGCGAGC